CTCTCTCTCTCTCTCTCTCTCTCTCTCTCTCTCTCTCTCTCTCTCTCTCTTTTCCTCTCTCACTCGCTCGCTCCCTCGCTCGGTGAGAATACCCTTATAAGGGTATCCGCCCTGGTTTTCGCGAGTGACATAAAATAAGTTTAGTTTAAAATTTGAGTATACCATGTGAGGACGTGGCTGTGTTTTGAGTACGGTGACAATATGGTTGACTAAAGTAGAGAGTGTGCGGACGTGCAGATTTAAGGCGTGTGTGATCATGTCTTATTGATGATCGTAGAGCCGGCGTGGTGCCGACCAGATTTTTATTGATTCGTGTACATACGCACGAGGAAGAAGCCGTCGCAAGGTAGGCACCGTGACAGGGTTTGACGACCGTTGACTTAGGGGATGCGCCGACGGGTGACTTTTGAGTGCTTCAGTAGGCTGGCTCGCCGCGTGGCACTTGCTTATATAAGTGTCCAGTAATACTAAGCTCAACATTAGGCCTAACACTACTGGTTACGGTGTCTGACTTTCGTAAAGGAGATTCAGGGATCGAGCCCAGCAAGCGGCGACATAGGAGCATCGGAGTAATGCGAAGGAACAGAGGGGTTGAGGGTCTGGTGGGGCTATCCCCCATAGTTTTGTTGCGCAGGGCCGAGGTGGTATTTGCAATTTTTTTTTCTCCTCGCCTCACCGTTTTTCTTTTTATTTTCGTAATTGATATTTATATCTTTACTATTATTATTGTATTTTTGCTTCGTTATTTCTTCCAAGCTGGGCACGCCACCAGAACCGACGAGTTTAACGTCAATGCGAGCAGGTGGAGGTAAGTTATACCTTGCATGACCCCTATCCTGTCATAGGGGTTCGCGAGAGGTATGGCTAGTGCACTCAGCAGGACCGGCTACGAAAGCTCCATTTGTGCGCGATAAAAGGATGAAAGTCCTGCCCTCAAATCCTACGTGACCCGGCCAGGAGGGTCCCTTTGTGGACCGATGCGCTCGACATTCTGTGTGTGGTACACCCCCCCCCTCCCTCTGTCTTTATCTCTCTTTCTTTTTCTCTCTCACTCTCTGTCTCTGTCTCTCACTCATATCAACAAATGCAGTGGAACAAGACTCTCTCTCTCTCTCTCGCTCGCTCGCTCGCTCTCTTTGTGCGTGTGTGTGTGTGTCGTAGCCCCCCCCCTCTCCCTCTCTCTCTCTTTCTTTCTCTCTCTCGCTCTCTGTCTCTCCCGCTCTCTGTCTCTCCCGCTCTCTGTCTCTCCCTCTCACTCATATCAACAAACGGAACAAAACTCTCTCTCTCTCTCTCTCTCTCTCT